CGAAGTCCATCACATCTCCTCGAGGCCTTTCTGGACGATACCCACTCACCTTCCCCATGATGGCTTTCAGGATAATACCAAGACGCAAAACATCCAATTCCTCCCCCTTGACCTTGTCTTCTACGATCTTGCTCGACGCCCTCCCGGCGAAGTCGAGTACGGACTCGGACCGCTTTCCACAGACCGCATACACAAAACAAACGCATACTTCCGCTCCCTCCTCGGTAGCGAGTACGCAAAAATTGGCAGCTTCGGAATCCCCAGCAGCGAGAGCGAAGACCCGCAGCCATCTTGGATCGGAGTAGGGGACGACTACGCCGAATACGTGCGCTCCGGCTTTATCAAGCCCACCATCGGCCGAGTATCCAACATCAACAGCCCATCAACCCTCACCATCACCCTACCCAACGGCACCCAAGAAACCATATCCGACATCACTGCCATAATAACAGCCACCGGCTACACCCCCTTCTCATCCCTCAGCTTCCTCCCCTCGCCCGTCCTCTCCACCCTCGAATACTCCACCACGGACCCCTTCATCCCCCTCATCCTAGACGGCAAAGGCACCTCGCACGCCGAAATCCCCGACCTCGGCTTCGTTGGCTTCTACCGCGGTCCCTACTGGGGTGCAATGGAAATGCAAGCCCGCAGTCTCGCAAACACATGGGCCAAAGACCTCTCCTTCACAGGGCCCTACTTCACCAACGAAGAACTCACCCAAAAGACCTACGAACGTGACCTCCTCCGCACCCTCCGCACTACAACTCTCCCCCGCAGCCAGTTCCCAATGGGCGACTACGTAGGCCTTATGGAAACCCTAGCCCGCGAGCTCAACATCCCTCGAGCTCCTATCCCATCCACCACATCCACATCCAATCCCTACAGCAACAACAACAACCACACCCGCAATGATACAATAAACTACGGCCCCGTCCTCCCCTCCCGCTACATCCCCACCCCCTACCTAACCCCCACCCCACCAACAGACCGCCTCTCCACCCTCATCGCGCGCGAAAGCACCAACACCCTCAAATCCCTCCACCGAACCATCACCCCCAGCCCAACAAACTACAATCTCGGCATGGGAATGGCCATATTCCGCGCCCTCCACGGACAATGGACCTACACTCGCACCGTCACTCACATCCTACCGTCACCGTCACCGTTACCAACATCACTCCCCACACCAACACGCTCATCTCAGATCTCGCATGTCATAGGAACAGCTACCTTCCATCCTCGTCGTACATCTAGTATTTGGTACGAGAAGGAGTATGTGTATGAGGAAGGCCACACCAACGAAAATACCAATGATAATGACGGTAACATTGAGATGAAGAAACGCTACATCTACCGCCTCACCGAAGGAACCTGGAGCAAGAAGAACGGTCAAATCCTCATCTGGAATGTGGATGTTGATCCGTTTCACGCGGGGAAGTTCTCGCATGGAGTGTTTGTGGGGTTGGCGGAGCGGATAGTGGGCTCTGTTGATGATGTTGATGATGATGATGATGGTAAAGGGGTGGAGGAATCAAGGTATGTGGTTCGGGCTGCGGCGGGGGCGAGACCCATGGATCGGGAGAAGGAGAGGGATCCGAAGTATGAGTATGTGTTTCGGATGGAGGGGGTATCTGTTGTAGATTGGGAGTGTGTGGTAAGGGAGAATGTGGTTGGGGGAGGCAGTGGTGGTAGTTGTGGTGTTGAAGGTGGGGGGTTGGTTACGAGGACGGTTTATAGGAGGTGAGCTGTTTAGTTGTTTCCTTACGCTTATATACACTACCATTTAGTAGAGGTTTTTGGGGTCTACGGTATAGGTGAAGAAGAGTAAGGGTATATAGGATTGAACCTAAAGTTGAATTGCTCACGTAGTCCGCCAATGCCACATGGCTTACATCATTATCGTAAGTCTCATACAATACTTCAACCAATTAACGTCGTGCATCCTCGACCGTAACAGCACTGGGCTTCTCCACCCCCGTATCCTGGTGTGTTACGCGCATTTGCTTCTCGTTAGAGAAGAGGTCTTCACCCTGTGTGACGTGGTTGGCTCCGCCAAAGAGGGCATCAATCTCCTCCAGCGGCACCTGCTTGGTCTCGGGGACGAAGAAGAACACAAATAGAGCGAGGAGGAAGCAGATGCCTGCGAACATGTAGAAGGCGTAAAAGCCGCAGTTGTTGAGGAAGGTGGGAAAGAACTGCTGCACGATGGCGTTGGCCACGTTTTGGGTCTGAGTTGCCATACCCACGGCTTGGGCGCGGACATTCATCGAAAAGACCTCGGATGTCCAAATCCAAATGGTAGCGCCCCAGGAGGGTTTGTCTGTTTAAAATGATTAGCATGGGTTTCCATAGATGGATTCATAGAGGAACTCACAGAAGAAGATGAATAAGAAAAGTAAGAACACGATCGATATGCCGACTGATTCTGTCTTCGCCCCACCTGGTGATGGTGTTTCTGTTTCAACGGCTGCGACAATGATCATGCAAATGCCCATACCAATGCCACCAACGATCAGGAGGAACTTGCGTCCGAATCGATCGATGATCCAGATGGCGTTCAGAGTGAAGATGATTCCAAAGGTGGCATTGAGTGCGTTGATAAGCGCAATCTGGTTAGCGCTCTTGAAAACCTTCTCGTAAATTTTCGTGGAGTACGTGTTCAAGGTACCCTGTCCACTGACTTGCTGTCCGGCGTTGATGACAAGAGCCAAGTACATGCGCTTGCGGAGGGACTTGTCCTTCCACAGAGCGGCGTAAGTGCCAGAGATAGCTTCCTTTTCATACTCGATGGCCTCGCGGATTCTGAGGAGCTCGTCTTCAACCTCATCCTCGGTTGCTCGAACTCTGCGCAGCGCTCTGCGGGCCTTTTCAACGTTGTTACCGCGTTGGATGTACCTGTGCGGATGTAAATAAGGGTACTTCAAGTGGGTTCACGATAGCGCTTACCATCGTGGCGAACCGGGAATGGTAGGCAAGATGAAGAGAATGATCACAGGAACCAAGAGCTGGAAGATGACGACCATTCTCCAATCCCACTCGCCCAAGTGTGTGGAGTGCTTGGTGCACGCGTAGTTCACCCAGAAGCAGATGAAGGAGCCAACCGAGTAAAACATTTGCCAAAAGGTCATGATCTTTCCACGAATCTCCGGGGGTGCAAGTTCACCGATATAGATGGGACCCGCAGCTGAACGAGAAGCGTCAGTAAGACTTTATCATCTCTGCTAAGGACACCGGTGGCAGACTTACTCAGTGCGATACCCTGACCAATACCGATGATGCATCGTCCGGCAAGGAAGCATGCAATGTTACCACGAGGCGCAAAGCATTGCATGAATGTAGCAGCGATGACCAAGATGCATCCAATGGCCATCCCGATCTTGCGACCCAGAAAGTCGGCAATAGGACCGCCCATGAAGAAGCCGCCGACAATTGCACCCACGGTGTAGGCCGTGTTGACACCTCCGATCATGTTCTCGTCAGGGTCATTGAAGTAGGCCACCCAATTGTCTGAGCCTTGTACGGAATTATAAACGGACGCATCGTAACCGTATAAGACCATGCATGCTGCTGCGACGAGGGAGATGAACCTAACGGATGTTAGTATAGTGACTCTTTCCACACACCAGCGAAGCATGTGTACCAGTTGTAGGCTCGTTTCGATTGGAAAGGATTGACTTCAAGATCGTAATCAAACATCGTGGCAGTGAAGGCCGTAAGCGACCTGAATACGCCTTGATAGCAAACAGAAGTGTTTCCCAGGTGGGTGGTCAGCAGTCCATACAGCTGCCCCAGCTAGTCGAGACTGCCCAAGAAGAACAAGGGGCTGTAGTGGTTTGTGTACAGAAAAAGAAGGTGAGAAAGGACTGCGTCCTGCGGCACTAGGTATATATATCCGACCTGGTAGAGGCGCGCCGGCCATGCCGCTAGATAAGCTACCATGCCGCGTGCCAGCAGCCAGGTGGCAAGCGCTATATTAAGCCATAGGGCGCTATAACACCAGTTCCAGGACTCGTGTGGACGCTAACGCGGAGGCATTCTTGGGGAGCTGGGCTATCAGAGGTCCTAGCATCCAGGATCGGACAGTGTGTAGGGCACGGCATTCGACCATTCGTCTCCAGGATTTTGTCGGTGGTGGGGTATCCGGGGTGGGCCTCACGGGAAAAGCTCAAAGTGCCATCCCCAGACTCCCCCAGAACAGGCCATTGTTGGGGTAGTCGTAATGTGGAGAAATCCGGGGTCGAGATTCGAGGAAATTCTGAGCCAGGCGCGGTAGATATTTACAGGTGTTTCCACGAATCAGCAACGCGAAGGTTGGTAGGAGGGCTAAAGAGGGTCCACCAATGGAATGAAACAGGGGTTATGATAGGACCAGCGCCTAAGCTCCTGGATGATTCACATGGAGGCCAAGAGAGAATTGGGGGAGGCGGGGAGGAGAGGAGGAGAGGAGGAGGAAACGGAGGGAAGAACAGGTTGGGCAATCCGATGGTGACGGGCTGGGGTCACGAGACAAGGCCTTGATCCCCCTGAAATTAATCTCGCCCGATGATCCATCCCAAGCCAGCTCTCGTATTCCTGTCAGGCTCTTCTATTCCGCATGCTTTTAACTAATGGCTCTCTAGAACCATCCTCCTAACCCAACGGTTCGTGCCAGATACACTTGCCAGAGTTCCCGGGCTGCTCAGTGGATGATACGCGACAATGCGAATGACCCCGGATACGAACAAAATGAATTGGTCTTAGCGCGACTATCAATAGCTTATATGAAGTACTTTTGACGGAGAGGCTAGCATTCCTGTGCTACTTGGTCTCGTCCTAGTTGTGGCCACCCACTAGCTTTGAGAAGCAGGTGCCATTTCTGCGCAGGGCCAGAACAACCACTATTATGCAGCACATTTCTATACACTGCAGTTTATTCATACTATCATACTTCATAGTGACTAGGACATACATTTTCTTGATAACAGTCATAACTTTAAGACCGTATAACTCGGCCACGAACTTCAGTTGAAATAGCTCTGCTGAGAAGTCGCCCTTCGGGAAAGGTTGCCCTCCGCCACTTTGAATTCCTGACCTGTCTTCTCGTTGGATTGAGAATTCGTGCGAGAGTTTGATCTTACAGCATGTCTTCGTATGCTTGCATTGCGAGCTCGTGGAAGCACCGGGACTCTAGTGCCCAGCTCTGGCCCATTCTGATAATCTTCGAGATCGAAGATGTCCTGTACTCTCCTACGGTGATCTTTCATGAAGGGCCCAAACCGCCGGAACTTTTGCCGGATCACCGTATCATTGCCTGTAGGGGTATTGGCCCCGTCGACGGCGCCATTGTATAGACATTGTGGGTCATTCCACGCTTTAGGAACCCCAGGGAACAAAGACGCCAATGCGCCAATAGGATGCATAGACGAAAGTCCGGTCTTCGTAGTAGTACTTTCTGAGAGCTGACTGCGGTGAGAAATTTCCTGGAGATATTGGTATCGCATCCGAAGTCTCCTATAGATTTCACGCAGCAAGTACAAGAGCGTAGCCGCGAGGATCGATGCACCCAGAAGAGCGCAAGACTTGTAGAATATGTCCAGCTCCCTATACTTCTGTTCTTGACAATAGCCATGTATAAGCGCCATATGCTTTTGGGGATAACACATGATGCATTGATCCCTCTTCTTGTCTGGGATTTGATCCGAAATGCATATCGTCCTCCAATCGCTTCCCTCACATATGGTGTCCTCGCAAGTCGGTCCACCAAGGCTGTATAGGTCCCTCTGAACATAGTATTGCCTCACGCCAATGTCAGGAGAGATATCGGGTGAGGCATTCGTCCTCTTGCGACGGCTCTTACCATTCTCCATTTTCGAGATGATGTATTTCAGGATCCCATGGTAGCCTTGCGTCAGAGGGTTTGATGGAGGTGCCTCCTTGACTTTACTCGTGTCAGTCTTGTTCGGTGGCATCTCTTGACGTGGCCATCTCCTCGTTCTGTGTTCCTGAGAGGCAGCTTTATGCTGAAGGGGAGCCAACGACCGGACAGAGGCTATCGAATGTTGCAGGTCATCCACACGATTTTCGAGGATGAGCTGCTCTAAGACACTTTCGCAGTGATGCATACCTGTTGATCGGTCTCCAACATTTGTAATCGCCAAGGTGAGCTTGAAAGTCGGTTCAACCGCAATTGGAGGATGTGAACCGCCATGGCCCCTTTTCATGGTCTCCCAAACCCCAGGACACGTCAAGGATACTGCACATCCCGGTCCCTCTGGACCCTTGGTTGGGGATATTGCGACAAACCTCGAAGCACCAAACAAGGAGTCCGAGCATGAAACTTGGTGGTCATCACCTACTGCTCGGTATGGGGTCGGCAGAGGGCCATCTTGGGTAATATTGGAGATAGCTCCCAATACTGCATAGAAAAATCCAAAAAGGTGCTGCTGACAATACATGAGAAAGGAATAGAGTGAGTGATTGATATGAAGATTTTTGCAAGAAACTTCCTGCTAAAATGCTGTGGAAGAAGTTAGGGTCAGTCAATGTGATGAGACTACTATATATTTATGGAGCTTCCTGAGCGGTGCTCATGATGCAGTAAGTCAAGCCACATTCTGGGTATGCCAATTCTTTTCAGGAAACCGCAACCCATGCCAGAGAACAAACATGACTCTATCATGTCCCACATAGGGGGGAGAGAAGCCCGACAGCTTCACACTGTCTTGACTTTTTCTAGACCATGCATTATTCGCCTACACCTTAGTGGAAGGTCCACCATAGCGTTAGCAAACAATATAGATTGAATGAGAGCTAAATAGACCTCCAGTAATGAGAAGTCGAACAATCTCCTTGACGACTTCAATCAAGTTCAGAGCTTGTCTAAAGGCTCAGTGAAAACTAGTTGAAAACTAGATTTTAACTAGTTGTAAGAATGCTGGCGTGTTCTCAAAAGTGATATTTATGCGAATCGTGAGTAACCCGAATTTGAAAGTGATGAACAGCGTCTGCAATGAAAGAGAGAGTATACCAACTGTTACTGACCATTTTGAGTAGCTATTAGCCATCACGTGCTCTCGTGACACCGAGACGCGACTCTTGCGCGCTCAGTGAAGACATCAGATCCTATGACAGACTCTACTCAGTCCTTCGACTTGGTCACTATTTCTACAGACAGCGCGAAACGTTCATTTTCTACTGGGACTATACTCAGCAACTTTTACTACCATAAATAGCCGATCCCTGCGCCACCCCCGATGCCCCGCACATACGGCAAGAAAAAGCAGACGCGGCTGGCTTTCGCTCCGTTGAGCTCCCCGCCGACGAAGAAAGAGGACTCCGACAAAGAGGATGATCGTCGCGCAAACTTGCGATATGCGCATCCTTCCATGCCAGTCATCCGGAGAGGTCGCTCTCAGAAGGATGGTGAGATTGTATCATAACCACTGCGCGATAATCGATACTGACTTAGTGGGATTTCGATAGCCAAGTCTCCGCCCCAACGTACCCCCGAACCTAAAGCAGTACCAGTTAGCGACAGCGATAGCGACATAGAGATCGTGCGCAGCACGCGCAAAAACCCACAAAGAGGATCATTGAAGCGCAAGAGGACGGACGTATCCAGTTCCGAATCTCCCTCCGCGACCCCGCAAAAACCCGCCGCCGATTCGGAAAGCGATGCAGATGAGGTGGTTCCTGCGTCTCGTCGAAAGCTGAGGCGTGGTGTGGCCCCCCAGCCTGCCCTCGTGGCCGACGATAGTGACTCGGAAGAAGAATTGGTCATCTCTCCCAAAAAGCGCAGGACGCGCAACGCAAGCCCCGATGTCCCCCAGACGCCGCGTCGCGAGCTGAAACAGGACGAATTAGACATAGAAGAAGATCTTCAGGCGCTGCAGGACTCAGGTAAGCCCATTTAACGAACAACCTAGACCATTTCCAGTTCTTGTCGCACTGACAGGTCTGTCTACAGTGGTAAAAGATACCCGCACTCGAGGTCGACTTGCCAACTCGGCACGGGCCCAAAGACAACAACACCTGGAAGCTTTACGTCGTCGGAGGGCAGGGAAGACAGCATCTGATACCGAGGAATCTAAGAGTGATCTTGAGCAGCCGGAAACGGGCGACGGCGACGGCGACAGCGATGGTGACGATGACAACGGAAGTGAACAAGAGGACGAACCCGAAACCCATGAAGAGAACCCTAAACGGAAGCCTCAGTTCCGTACTCGACTAGAAGAAAGCGACGTTGAATCCGCGATCGCAAGCAACGATGATCTAGACCGCTATGAAGACGACTTTGTGCTAGAAGACGATGATGATACTCTAGGGGCTCCCACGGGCCTAGAAGACATCCCCATCGAATTCTCGCGACATGCCTACAAGCAACTCAAGGACTACTTCCAAGACGCAGTAGAGTGGATGGTGCATAATCAACTCAACCCGGCATTCCCGCGCTCCGACCCGGTCTACGAAGTCGCCTTTAGCAAACTCGAAGACGAAGTCAAGGGCCGTACCGGATCACAGCTCGTCTCATCCGTTTGGAACGCAAAATTCCGTCGAGCTCTGTTAGCCAGGCCTCAAATTGAGATCACAACATTCCCAACAATAGAGAACCACCCATGCGATGCATGCAACCGCTCAGGTCATCCAGCCTCATTCGACATCAAATTATACGGGAAAGCCTATTCACTGAAAACGCTTGAACCGCTTACCGACGATGACAGCGACGACGATGACGATGACGACGACGACGACAAAGAAGAAGACGAACACGAAGACGATAACCACGAAGAAAGAGACCGAGACGGCCACATCCTACCAGACGAAAACACTCGCTTCTTCCTCGGCCGGTAAGCATCCCATCCCATCCCCCTTCCATTCCACCGAATTCCAAAGATCCCATCCCATACATGCTAACACCATCCTCCCCACCACCACCAGCCACTGCAAAAACAAAGCAACCCTAGCCCACACCCTAACCCACTGGCGCTTCCACCTCAACGAATGGGTGACCGGCTACCTCGAACACCAGGGATATCTATCCGAGACGAGAGTCGTGGAGCGCAGCCACTGGAGCACGAAGAAGAAAACCAAGTACGCCGTGAAAGCAGTTGAATCAATGATAACGAATGGCGAAGTCAAGAAGCTGTGGCGTGACTTTCATATCAATTTACGAACTGCGAGAGAAACTACGGTATGTTTTCGATATTCATCATCATCATCATCATCATCATCATCGTCATCATTTGAAATTGACGCGGTAGTTGAGAGCATTTGCTGACCATGTCTTTTAATAACATAGACTCTTGGGTAGTGAGTAATGCAAGCTTCTTCTCCTTCGCTGTTTTATGAGATGCTTTCGATTGCACATATTTGATCCATACATGGGTGGTTTGTCTGGACGGTGTTACGTATTGCGGTTTGTTCTTCCCCTGGTCAGGATCACCACTTTCTTCGAATGCGCGCCTTTACACGATTCTTCTGTTCATATTCATCTTGTTTGTCGTCTCGTTTCAGGGGCTTGTACATTTATCCTTCATACTATGATACCCTATTTCTGTTATTCATCTTCGGTCTTCTCCTAGCGCAGGGACAAAATGTACGCGGCTCATATAGCTTTCTTCCTGAATATGATATCTCAAGATCATTCACATTTCATTATCTAGAAACATGACTTCCAAAAATGGTGGAAATAGACATAAACGAAACGAACATTGTAACCAGGGGGAAAATAAACCAGTATAGAAATACACACATCGCCCAAGCCAGAAGTTCTGGAATCAAAGGTTGAGAGAGGAGAAAAGCATCAAGTTAAGAGGCCAGAGATTCCGAACAGTAACAAGTCGGCAAGATTTTCCTTCATGTCCATATGGAAGCCATACCATCCCTTTTATATCTTCCTCGCGCCAACTCAAATCAATGAGTTGATTGTTTCGCGATTATTCCATATCCTCGATAGTACACACCTGCTTTTAACCCAATGTAATCCGGATCATGCATCGCTAAATCAAAGTTGTCCGACTCGTTTTCTTTTTTGTTGGAACAGAAAAATCGACTAGATGTGCATGGGACTTCATCGATGAACGTCATCGCCTGAACGTTGACGTTGCGCTCCCGGAAGACCGCCCGAATTCAGTGAGAAACCAAAGGCCTAACGACAACAGGGGCTTCGGACAGGCTCGATATTAGGGTAGTGGCGGTTCGACAGGCCATGGCAAATCAACTATTCCCACTGTTGCGATCTTCATCTTTGGCTGCGGTATTCATTTACAAAGAGGGTTGAGCGGGCTTCTCTTCACCGGGGGCGCCGGGCGTAAGCATCTGATGATAGAGAACAGAGTAATTAGCTGCTGTTCGGATATTTCTCAAGATATCGAAAATTGAACGGGGGATCCAAATGACGTCTGTATCTCCATTCTTGGCACGTAATAAGAACGGAAAAGAGTTTTCACGTCATCGCCAACTGCCTCGGGACAAGGCGACATGGCAATAACAACCATAGTGATAGCCAAGCGACAAGTAGATAGCCCGACAAATATGAGAATTGGGGATGGGAATGGCTGTAACGTACCTCGTTGGCGCCCTTGATCATGCCCTGCTCGCGCTCCATCTGGATGTACTGCTCCTCTTCGGCGTAGGCCAGAGCCCACGGGACACCGAGGAGGAAGGCACTGGTGCTGATGATCCACAGCGCCTTACCGCTGAACTGGATGCTGGACTTTGTGAAAGAGGTGACGGAGTTGACGGTGCTGGTGACCGAGCGGCGTGTGGAAGGAGGAATCATGTCTTTCAGGGCGTAGAGACGGTCGTAGAAGGTCTCACCATCGACCTCAAGGTCGGACTCGACAGAGATTTCGGATTCTGTAGGTATGGCATGTTAGAAAAAGGAAGGCCATGTGTTTTGAACGGCTGCGCCGATGGACGGATGGATAGATGGATCAGATTCGGCGTGGATGGATAATGCTTCCGGATCTTGTTGCGCGGTGGATGAAGGTGAAGGTGAAAGTGCAATTGTTCAAGCAATACAAGCGCCCGGTTGGATTGTGCCTTGAGTTATGGGTTATCAGGATACTAACCGGTGTCAGTGTAGTCGTCTTCCTCTTCGTCGTCCGAGGTCAGAAGGACATTGTGCTTGCTGGGCATGGGCTTCTCCTGGGAGAAGTGCTCATCCTCGACTTCGGTAAGCTTGACCATTGTGACGGTGGTTGTAGAAAAGTGGATTAAAAAGGTGTATTGATAGTAGAATGAGTCGCAGGAAGTGCGGGCGAGGGTCGAGGTGATGGAATGAAAGTGTTGAGGACGGACGGAGATTGATGGAGGACGGCGGGTTCGACCTTCCGGATCCAACTTTTTTCCCGGGCGGAAACGAACTCAATACGGTAAGGAGCTTCTACTGCAGCCGATGCATCCACGCGACGCCCCAAATTTATACGTTCAATTGTTCCAGGGAAAAGGGAATGTTCGGGCAATATATATTGTACATGATTGTATATGGCTATCTCTAATTACATGGAGTGAAGAAAATGGAAGTGTTACATCCCTCTAGACCCCGTGAACAGCACAGGTAGTCGCTGCGATGTCGGGGCTTCAACTGCACGGCAAATTACCTCCTTCCCAGCTTCCACCGGGCAATCCGCTCTTGGATCTCCTCCCAGGGGAAAGGACGGAGCTTGTAACCCTCCAACTCGCCTTCCTGCAACACAACGGTGGGCCTGCCAGTGCCACGGCCCTTGTTCTCGACAAGACCACCAAAGACTTCCCGAGCAACCCGGCGCAGGTCCTCCACAGTCAGAGCCTCAATGTGCGCGCACATTTCCTTGACACCAACCTTGCGGCCGTGCACCTGGACCTGGCGTCCGAGGTCCTCCAGTTCCACCATACGCGACTCTAGGTTCATGAGGAGCGAAGAGCGAAGCTGGTTCTTCGCACGGTTAACCTCCTGCGGCTGCAGGGCTTGGTAGCCAGTGTCGAGAGTGAGGGCCTGGAACTCGCGGCACATGACCTCCAACATCTCGGTAGTCCGTGTCGGGCTGCAAGATGCGGAGATACCGAAGATTCCGCTATCCGTGTAACTGTGGTTGAACGCGATACAGCTTTCGACCCATCCGTGCTGGTTCAGCACGTTGGTGTAGAGACGCGAGTACATTCCCTTACCGGGACCACCGGCAGAGAAGGAACCGCCACCTCCAAGGAGTGTTTGGAGGGTTGCCAGAGCATAGATATCAGGGTTCGAGATCGGAAGGGCCTCGAAGGCAAGGTGGATATGGCTCAGCCGAGGCAGCATGGGGTTTGCAGGGGGAGGAATCGGAGGAAGAGAGAGAAAACCACCGGTGTAGTGGGAAGGACGGTTGAGATCTAACGTCGACGACTGCACCAATGATGGGTCAAGCGGCGACGTGGCGGAATTCTGCGAGCCAGAGCTGGAGAGGTTCTTCAAAAAGGGAAGCTTGGAAAGGAATCCCGACTTGGGGGAGGCTGCGGTAGTAGTTGTGGTGGATGACGGAGTGAACTGGGGAATGGTGGGCACCTGGCCCTCCTCAGCGGCGGACTGGGATTCAGACAAAGTAGTCTCGATGCCCGTGCCCGAGAGAACAGGACCGTCCGTCTTCTTGTGTGTCTTCATATCACCAAAGTACTGCTCTGTAAGCTTGACGGCCTCAGCGTGCGGCACACCAGCAAAAGCGACAACCATGCGCTCTGGGTTGAAAAAGGTTTCACGGTATTTATCAACCACCGCTTTGTTGATCTCGCCCAGCCTCTCATGCGGGCAAAGCAGAGGGTTTCCCAGTGTGTTGTCCTTGTAGGCCGCGGTATGTACCAGCTCGGGCAAGATGAGCTCAGGCTTGGACCAGATCTCTCCAATCTCATACTCAGCCGTAGCCAACTGCTGAAGCACTTCTTCTTCTGTGATCAGAGGATCCCGGATAGTCTCAGCCAACAGTCCCAGAGTCGTCGGGACAGCGGAGTTGAAACTAGCAGACTGGTACATCAAGGATTCACGAGAGGAAGCGCACTGGATATTTCCTCCAAGGCTCTCCAAAACCTCAAGCATTTGATCACTGGTGTGCGACTTGGTCGACTTGAAAGCCAGACGATCCATGATGTGGCTCACACCCCGCAGACTCTCATCTTCATAGCGAGATCCGGCATCGACGTAAACTCCGACACCAGAGAAGGGCCCAGGCAGGGATTCCGTAGCGACGCGGATACCGTTGGGCAAAGTGGTGATCTGATCAAGCTCGGCAGGGTCCTACACAGTGGAAAACAAAGTAGTTAGAATTAATCCCAAGTCCGACCAGAACCATCAAGTCAGATTCCCTGCATTGGAAGAACTTACCTTGGAACCGTTCTCATTAACAGTAGCAAAGCCTCTAGACGCGGAACGAGGCACGCGGGCAAGAGGCTTTGCGGACTCAACGGCCCGTAGTACAGAACGGCGCATATTGACAGATATGAATGGATAAAATGGGCCGAGAGTTCTCAATTCAATATTGCCCTCTTTCCCGGACGGCGTGAAAGCTGCGGCGTTTCCGGAGATGTCGTCGTCACGCCGGCGCCCGCAAGGATTTGGACTCAGATCGCTTATCTAATCACCACAGGCACGGCGCACGACGTCAGACTTGTCTGTTTGCACAAGCAGGATATGATGTCTTTGGATTGACGAATTGCTTTCCAATTGGGGTTGTTTGTCTTGTAATCACCCGCTCCGTTTTTTTTGTATTAGATTTCTACAGAGCCTGAGTCATCGGTAAAACTTGTGATTTCCTACTTGCACCTGGTTAGTAATGGCAGATCTAGAATCGCTAATTGAGTAATGCGGACAAAGCAGAGACCCCATCGACCCTCGCCACTGGAAGAAGAAATAGTTCATTATCTAGTTCTATAGGCCGTGAACAAACATTCTTAGCATGGCATACTGCTTTCACTCTAAGCTTTTCCCAGACCATCTATTGAGGGAGACCTTACTACGAAACTATGGGTGCGCCGCAGCCCAAGCGCGGTACCAGTCAAGGCACGAGGCATTGGCCACACTGGCACCAATCTTGATGTTAAGACCGCACAGGATCTGCTTCACAGCGCTTTCAACTTTCTTGCCGTTGGATGTCACTGGAATCTCGGGGCAGACGTCCACAATACCAGGGACATGACGAGGGCTGAGCTCTTTGCGAATGGTCGCTTGGATGCGAGTTGCGAGGTCAGGCGGCATGGTTGTTGGAGCGTCACCAGACGATGCCAGCTTCACGAAAAGGACGACTGTTTCATCGGTGTCAATTCCATCCCGCCGACGCCCGATACACAGAGAATCCTCCACTTCATCTGCGAAATGTTTCAGAAGAACATTGTATATCTCGGCGCTACCGAACCGAACGCCGGCTGGCTTCAGAACCCCGTCACTGCGACCTAGCATCACTACACCTCCAGTGTAGGGTTCCAGACGCACGAAATCACCGTGGTGCCAGATTGTCGGCCCGAAGACGTCAAAATAACTCTTGCGGTATTTCTCCGCTCCTGTCGGACCGGGAGGCCAGAATATGACAGGCTGCGCAGGAAATGGCTTCGTACACACCAGATCGCCGGCCTCACCGGAAGTAGAAACGTCATTGCCAGCGTAATCGTAGACTGAAACAGCCATTCCCAAGCAGCGGCACTGGATCTCTCCCTTGTAGACAGGTAGTATGGGACAACTGCCGCAAAATAGCGACAAGATATCGGTCCCGCCGGTGATCGAACCCAGCATGAGATCAGCCTTGATAGACGAGTAAACGTACTCGAATGTAGACGGTGCTAATGGAGAACCCGTACTGAAAATAGCTTTCAGTGTTTTCAAGCTTACTGGACGGTGAGGGTGACTGGTTGGATGTAAGGAAGCCTGCTCTAGCATGGATAGGTATTTGGCAGAAGTTCCGAAGTGCGTGATTTGCAGTTCGTCAATCAGGCGTGGCATTGCCATTTCACCCTTCCCACCTTCCGGGTCGAATGGCCGAAAAGGGGAACCATCATAGAGCACAATGGTAGCGCCACTGGCAAGACCAGAAACAAGCCAATGCCACATCATCCAAGTAGTCGTCGTGAAGTAGAACAAGCGATCTCCGGGACGAAGATCACAGTGAAGCACATGTTCCTTTTTATGTTGCAGCAGCGTTCCCAGTGCACCATGGACAATTGGCTTTGGTGCCCCTGTAGTACCTGAGGAATACAAGATGTAGACAGGGTGTTCGGGTCCCAGACTTGCAAAATCCAGAGGGGCGGAAGGGTTGCTGGCCGTAGAAAGAAATGATTTGTAGGTAAGAACCTTGCCACGTAGTGGTACCAAGAATTGAGGGTCCAATTTGTAGGACCGGATTGTCTCGAAGATGACGAGAAACTCCAGGTTCGGCAGCCCCGGCACGAGTTCACGCAATTTAGCATCGGTCCCGTGCACCTTCCCGTTGTATAAAGATGCATTGTCGGCGAACAAGATCTTCGGTTCTATTTGCTTGAGACGTTCTAGCACTGCATGTACGCCAGTATCAGGCGAGACGCCTGTCCAGAAGGCGCCAATTGATGCCGTTGCCAGCATCGCCACAACAGTGTTGGTATGATTACCAAGAAACCCTGCCACACGGTCTCCTTCCTGCAGACCCGATTGCTTCAGCGAGTTGGCACATCTGCGTACGCGGTCGCGCAGCTCCTTCCAGGTCACAAATTCCCGATCCGCTTCCGTGGCAGCGATTATCGCAACCGCGTTCTCATCAGGAGACGAAGACGGATACAGGAGGTTCTCAGCAAAGTTAAGCCTACTCCCCTCGAAAAAGTTGGGACGAGGAAAAAGTAGTTCGTCCGTGCTCAGGACCTATAAGGCAAATTAGCCATCATATATCAAAGGAGACAAGCACTAACAGCAGCCGTTGTGTTGCGCTTCGAAAGAGCGTATTCGTATACTCACACGGTCATATGACTTATGGGCCTTGATGGAAGTATATTTCCATACATCCTCCCAGAACTTGGCGGGCTCAGAGACACTCCACTGCCAGAGATCGTTGTAAGTGGACATGGACAGGCCATGCTTGGCATTGGCGGATTGGATGAAATCGTAGATTTGGGTACTGCAAGGGCTCGAGTGTCGCCATAGTTCCTTGGGCACCGTATCGTCGCTAGACCTAGTCATTGTGAAGGATTGTTGATTTGTACCAGCAAATGATGACTGCGAATTTGCTGATCTAAACTATAGGTGTACGTAGTAGACGGTGGTACGGAGTGCCAGAAGGTTGCAGTCAAAGTGACCCGAGGTCCTTTCGTCCTGATAGAGTTCAAGCCTTTGTGGCCAGTGGTTCGTCAGTATTCGAGACCTGATTTAATCATACGGCACTTGTTCAATTGCAGATACCTTCCAAACGTGAACAAGGAAAAGGATTCAAACTGCAACGAGGACTTCCTTTCAGGCTGTTGTGCGTGCTAGGGTGGGTGTCCCGATCTATGTACGGAGTACCCCGGAGCGGAACCAAGGAAGCCGGGGACGGAATCTGCAAGGGGATTTCCGCGGTGGGCAGACAATCGCCTGGAATCAAGTGGGGATACAGTGGGTGAAGATATAACTATAGCATTGGAATTGAAAGTCCCCAGGCATCTATTAACACGTTTGTCTATCCTATTTGCTGGTAATCATCCATATATTGTGGGGTTGGACTATATCAATCAACCACCCGTCTTTCGTTCGGAAACTTGAGCCGTGACCAGGGTCTCGCCTGAGGCAGAAACATGTACGCTGCAACCTGCAGTCTGTAAATGCGAAGCGATTGATGCAAGAAATTAATAAATAAAGTGCTTGGGAGAAACTAACTAGCGGTGAAAATCCAGGCTGTCAGATTACCGGCATGAATGGCAGTTTCAAGGTGCTTCTGGTGACTATCACCTTGCGTTGCCCCTTTCTGGGATAAGGGAAAGTCAAAATACTCGATAGAATCCAGGCGTGCAACGAATGAAAACAAATCGAGGAACTTGCAGAAGGGTCCAGGGGCGGCGGGTATGATTACCGTCAGAATACCAGTGGCTCAGCTACTGGGAGGGTGCACGGATAGTGTAGAACCAGCAAACAATACCGCCCTGTGACAGTGTTCGATGGGTCGGGGGCTCCACTTCCCACCCGTAACCCCATCGTCATTTGCAAATCTCGCCAGCGAAAATTGCGCTTTTTTCACCCCAACCAAACCCTACACAGTATTGCTTTCACTTTACAGTACGCAAGCCTGAGCTCCGCTTCGATTCTTAGCCTCGTACCTTGTTTGGTGCCATTATTCATTACTATTCCCTTTGAGGCTGTTTTTTTCTTCTTATTCGCGTCACAAAATCCCATTATTCATCTCACTCCAATCTGTCTTCTTCCCGTTATTCGACCTTCGGCGCTCTTCGTCTTCCCTTTCCGACCTCTTTCCCAGCACCGACCCTTTCCCTCCTTCGCCAACCTTCCAACCTACAAAAGGTCCTGCTTCTCTAACGGTTAATCTGGTCGATTGATTCCCTTTGGCTTAGGGGTCCCGACAGATCCCGTCGTCGAAGGGTTCCGTGCCCTCTGCTACTGTTCCTCCACGTGCGAAGGTACGTGACCGATTAGCCCCCGGAGTCTCCGGAGTCTCTCAACAAAGACTCTTCCCTTTTTCCTCCCCCCTTAGACCCCTCTTCTCTTTGCTTCTTGTCATCTGAGTCCCTGTCTCTGCTTGCGACCACAATCCTTCGGTCGCTAAGCCGTTCTATTGTCGCTCTCCCCGCCTGGTGAAATGGTGACTGACACTCGACTCCGCCGTGTGTAGGTGACACCGAATCATTGTCATTCCCTTTTGCGCTGGAGTAAAGGAGGCCAGATCAAAGGAATACGCTGCCTAGAAGCAAAAGTTCGCTAGTTACCTTTTTGGTAGTGCTTGCCGTACTTAATTGCTCAAGAGCCGCGGCAGAAGCTCCTTCATTTCCTCGGTGCTGCACAACCTTGCTCGTTCCTGTCTAGCTGTTTCCTTGCGATGCCTCGTCGCGCTGCTAGTTCTTTCGTCAACGACCCCTCCAACGTTCCCTCTTCTTCTCCTGCCTCCGCAAAGGGTGGTATCGCCATCAAGGCGTCCGCCGTTAAACCTAACCGCCTAAGTCAGCTATTTTCGACCTCTCCTAAGTCCAAGGCCGAATCTCAGACTGCGCAGGCCGCTGTCCAATCGGCCAGTGGAATCCTGAACTCTAGTACTGCCACCCCGCCCATCAGTTCAGCCTCTCTGTCGCTGCCTACAATTTCTCTCTCCACTGCCACTGCGGATAATCCGAACATGGACGAACCACCAACCACTCTCTTTCAGCCGCCTTCGCCCGAAGAGGCTCGTCGCCTGGCTAAGCAACATGCTCAGTTCGGCCCCATCGGCCACCATAGCCACCGGTACACCAGTCAGCATCCCGGTGGTACATTTCCGGAGCCTGTGATGGACGAACCCCCGTATTATTACCTCCTCACCACCTATATCAGTTATCTTATTTTAATCGCTTTCGGTCATGTGCGAGACTTC